AACAATCCTAATCTCAAAACTGTCTGATGCCTCATGTCCACCTCAACCTCATTCCTTCCCTATGACAAGAGGGAAGAAGGCTAGGTATGAACCACATTGGTGTTAGGTTCTCTCTTCCTTTGTGGGGGAGTCTACTAATGGGGTGGCCTAGAGGGCGAGGTTGGGCTGGCTGTGCTCTAGGCATAAGTGAGTGGCCATGTGGCTGGAGAGGAGGTCATGCCAGCTGGTCAAGTGAGGGCCCTGATAAACACCAAGGGAGTAGCCACTTTATTTTTCTTGCTTACCTCTTGGGAGTTTTTTTTTCTGTTTTCTTTTTGAACTTGACAGGCCATATTCTTTTCTCCTCTTTTCTAAAAAAGAAAAAAGAAACACATCTTTTATGGCTACAAATATTGATCTCCAAGCTTGCAATATCAATACTTTTTTAAGTAAATTTTTTCCTGCTTTTCCCTCACTTTGAGAAGGCAAGAAAACCATGTGACCTATGTGAAAAAAGTGCCCCATTTTACCTGGAAGTTGGATTTAGTATTGAATAAAGATGAAACAGAAATATACTAGAGAACTAACATTTCAAATATGTCATTTAAATTTATTATTTTGGTGGGGGGCAGAGTCTTGCTCTGTTGCACAGGCTGGAGTGCAGTGGCATGATCTCAGTTCACTGCAATCTCCGCCTCCTGGGTTCAAGTGATTCTTGTACCTCAGTCCCCTGAGTAGCTGGGATGACAGGTATACACCACCGTGCCTGGGCAATTTTTATAGTTTTGGTAGAGATGGGGTTTCACCATGTTGGCCAGGCTGGACTCAAACTCCTGACCTCAAGTGAGCCCCCTTTCATGGCCTCCCAAAGTGCTGTGATTACAGGCATGAGCCACCATGCCCAGCCCCATTTAAAAATTAATAAGCAGTTTTTCAAGACTAAAGAAAGATTGTTATAAGCTATGGATATGAAAAGGTTTCTTAGCCAAAATTCAAGGCCAGAAATTATGCAGTTAAGAGATGAACAGATTTGAATGTTTAAAAAATTAAAAATGTACAGAAGGAGGAGGATTGAAAAAAACAGTTTACACTTCAAAAAACACCCCGACAATATTAAAGCAAAAACAAAATTTAAACATACGAAATATATAGAAGGTTAATATCTGTATTAGATAAAGCAAAAGATGAAGGTACTCTAGGAAAATAAGCAAACAACGTAAGTTAAAAATGCTCAAGGAGGAAATGAAGTTGACAAATTTATTTAGAAATCATCTGTATATTACTAATAATCAAAGAAACTTATTGCTTGGATGTTAAGGATACCTAAACACTAAACAGTTTTATCATATCCAGTTCTGAGGATGTAGGAAATGAACACTCATATATCATTAAAGGGAACATAAATCATTGGGTTTTCTGGACGGCAGACTGGTAACATGTATAATTAAGACTTACATTCTAACCTAATAAGCTTGTGTTTAGGAATCAATTTTAAGGAAATTATTGGATAAGTGCAAAGATACAAACACACACAAACCTAATTTCTCTTTTCATATAAAAATAAGAAATACGGTTAGGGGAGGGATAGCATTAGGAGAAATACCTAATGTAGATGACGGGTTCATGAGTGCAGCAAACCACCATGGCATGTGTATACCTGTGTAACAGACCTGTACTTTCTGCGCATAAATCCCAGAACTTAAAGTGTAATTTAAAAAACTGTCCATTAGTAGGTGATTATTTAAACAAATGGTGGTGAATCATACAGTAATGTGCCATGTAGTTAAAAAAATAGATAACATTGATACAAAGATATGCAAATGAGACAATATAGTATGAGCTTATATATAAAACAGAAGGTATGCATATTTATAAGGTATAAAATATTTATAAGGTATAAAAATAAGGTGGGGGAAGCAGATTAGATAGATGTTTGCCTTTGGGATTTATAATTTTCTTTTCTCTGTTTTGAGACAGGGTCTCACTTTGTTATCAGGCTGGTTTCAAATTCCTAGGCTCAAGCAATTCTCCCACACTGGTCTCCGAAAGTGTTGGGATTGGGGGTGTGAGCCACCTTGCCTGGCCTGATTTACAATTTTCTACACTGAAGATTTTATTAGGGATGTTGTATCATCCAGGACAGGGTAGGATGTGCTGCAGTAACAAATGAAACCAAATTTTGCTGGCTTAACATAGAAAAGCGTATTTCTCTATTACACGAAGTTCTCTGTAGGACGACAGGACCCTCTGTAGGACTGCAAGTCCTCTGTGGTCCTCTGTAGGGCCCTCCAAGGTGGCACTGTCCCCTATGTGGTAGGTCATGCTGCTTTGGCCTTTTGGCGCCTCCCTCTTCCACACATTTCCACAGGCAGGAAAAGAATACAGAGAGCTTCGAAGGGCTCTCATGTGCTGTGACCCAGAAGTGACACCCATCTCTCTGGCTTATTTGCTGGAGCTAGTATAATGGAGCTGCCTCCTGCAAGGGGATGATAACGGAGCTTTGCAAGTGTCTGGGAAGGGGAGAAGAATCAGAAATAGAGGAAAGTGGTCATAATCCGACCCCCAAACATGTGCAGCATGAGCACTGCAAATTGTTGCCTTTTCCTATGTAATAAAAAATGCCTCCCTGTTTCCTTAGTAATAAAGCCCCTAATTCTGAGCCCCTTATTCTTACAGATTAAAGATTACAGTTCCCAGCCACCTTTGAAGTCAGGTGTGGCCATGCAGCCAGTCCTGGCAAAAGAATGATAGCTTTTTTTTTTTTTTTTCCGATGGAGTCTTGCTCTGTTGCCTAGACTGGAGTGCAGTGGTGTGATCTTGGCTCACTGCAACCTCTGCCTCCCAGGTTCAAGTGATTCTCCTGCCTCAGCCTCCAGAGTAGCCGAAACCACAGGTGCACACCACCAGGCCCAGCTAATTGTTTTGCATTTTTAGTAGAGACAGGGTTTCACCATGTTGTCCAGGCTGGTCTTGAACTCCCAACCTGAAGTGATCTACCTGTCTCAGCCTACCAGTATAAAATCATTAATGATAGAAAATTACTATCTGCAACCAGCATTTAGGATCCTTCAACGGAGGGGGTGTGCCCTTCTTTGACTTTTTCACTTTCCCTTTAGCTGGAACAGAGACTTGCTGGCTGGACCTCAATGGAGGGGATGCCACATGCTGAGGATGACGGAGCAGCAAGCAAGAAGCAGCCGAGGACCCTCCAGTGTATGACACCAGCTGTTGGCCGCCCACCTCTGCACACAAAATAATAGCTACTATTCTTCTTATTTTTTAGTGGGGTGGGGTTTGCTGTCACGTACAGCAAATAATCCTCTGTGTGCGTGTGCGTGTGCGCGCGTGTGTGTGTGTGTGTGTGTTTTCTTTTGAGACAGAGTCTCACTCTGTTATCCAGGCTGCAGTGTAGTGGTGTGATCTTGGCTTGCTGCAAACTCTGCCTCCTGGGTTCAAGGGATTCTCTTTCCTCAGCCTCCTGTGTAGCTGGGATTACAGGTGTTGCCACCAAGCCCAGCTAGTTTCTGTATTTTTAGTAGAGACAGGGTTTCATCATGCTGTCCAGGCTGGTCTCAAACTCCTGGCCTCAAGTGGTCCACCCACCTTGGTCTCCCAAAGTGTTGGGATCATAGGTGTCAGTCACCATGCTGGGCCAGCAACATAATCCTAATGGTTACAGCACACTGCTTTTAGAAAATTCCAGAAACCTTTTCTAGGTTGAAAAATAGTTAAATCATGATTTAAAAAAACATAAGGCTTTTTCTGGGTTGCATGTTTTTTATAGCCTAGAATAGCATAACAACAGTCAAAGTAACATCAATCCACACCACAGAGACCAAATCGTTTCTTCTTTATACCTATTTTCTGCCCTGGGAGATTTTCCCAAAGAAAGTTTATTTCTATTATCCGTAGGATCTTGGAAGTAATGAGAAAGTAATTTTTGAATAAGCAGTTTTATATTTGGGAAATAGTGAATTGACAAAAGTTTGACAGTATTCTTTCTGCCCCTTCCTTTCTCTGGAGAATGATAGCTCCTGAAAAGAGTTCCTAGGGACCAGGGTGTTAATCCTGCGGCAGCTAGCCCTTACCCAGGGGATCTTGAAAAAAACTCATTAATCCTTTCCATGTCTCAATTTCCTCATGTGTTAAATTGGAATAAGTCATTCAACCTTCTCCAAGGGTGATTGTGAGAATAAAACAAAACTATCCCTGAGAGAAGTTGAAATACTACTATATAAGCCAGTACAATAAAGGAGAAACTGTTAAAAATGATAATTTAGATTTTAAGGTGGTAAAGTGTAATCAATTCTTCCTGATGATAAGTAGATATCTGTTGTCTGAAAATCACATTTATCATGTGAGAGTTCTGTGACTTTTTTGACAGTGACCATATCATCAACAAACAGAAGAATATCCAGCTGTTTTCTCCCCTCTAAGGATAGTGGTATCAACTTACTCCAGAAATGTGAATAATGATACTGATGGTGACAGAAGAATTACCATGCACACAGTTTTACCAGCACGTGCCCACCCCACCACCAGTTGTACGTGCTCAGTCATGGTGTCACGTATGTGTTTGTAATGAGTTTTTCCCTTCTCAATTTTCTCAGAAAGGCCACATGAGAAATATGGAGATTGGAATTCTAGGAAAAAGGTTGATCCATAGGTTGGACTTTGGACAAGTTGTACTTTCAGTAAAGTGCCACAAATATACTTAAGACACTTATTCTCAGTAGTGGTGATACTGCCACCAACAGTGCAAAAACTCGTTCTTGAGTGCTGAGAAAAATCTTATAAAGTGCAGATATACACACATGCATATGTATGACATAAAATAGACATACATTCGTGGTATTAAAATACCATGGGAAGAGTCTTGATTAAGAAAAAATATCTAGAAGGACTCTCTAGCACAGTGATAATTTTTTTAAAAAGTTAAGAAATATTGCCTTAGAGTAAAACAGTTCTGAATTTAGATTCCTGGTGACTGTACTCTGAGATTAGCGATCTCCAAGTTTTACCTTGCTTGACCCTTGATGGTGTGCTAGGTGTCTCTTGGTTCCTCTTTCCTTCTTTCATTTTTGAAGTGCCATCAGTGATCTCTAGAAAAAGAAAATCTTAGTAAATACTCCTTGGGAAGCTTCATGGGGAATCTCCCAGAGACCCAAGACAGTCCTTGCACACTCTAAAGTTGAGGCCTGGAGGGTCTAGGTCTTGCCTCCTAAGAATGCATCTGCCAAGAGGTTTGGTGCTGCTCCTGACACTGTGCCTATCTGCCACTCGGGAGGAGCAGACCACAGTTGGTTAGCCGTGGTTTCTCTACCAATGGAGACATCCATCGTGGGGTGCAGCCATCTGAACAACTTGGCCAGAGTCTCTCAGAGTGAGGTCTGTGAGCCTCTAGGGGGCCCCTCACACCTTTTCAGAAAATTTGCAAGGTCAAAATCATCTTAATAATAAGATGTTATTTGCCTTTTTCACTATTTCAACCTTTGTACAGGTTGAGCAAGAGTAATGGCAGATAAAGCTGCCGGTGGCTTAGGACACATCAAAGCAGTGTCCCCAAACCTCAGCAGGAATCACTGCATTCTTCATTGTCACTTGCTCGCTGTCCCCTCCCCCCTAAAAAAAAAAAAGGCAAGATTCACTTGAGAATCTTCTTGGTGAGCCAGTGAAAATTATTAATTTTATTAAATTTCTACCTTTGAGTACTTATCTTACATCTTAATATTCTATGTGAAAAACTGAAGGATACATAAAAAGCATTTCTATTGCATCCTGAAGTGCCACAGTGGCAGCAAGAAAACACTTGTGTGATTAAGTTAGGAGCTCATGGTATAATTCCAAATGCATATTTTCTAAACAGCTGTACTATTACAAAAATCTTGCATTCGTAGAAGATCCATTCAAAATGTAAGACGGATTTATGTATTTTATTGTAACAGTCTGAAGTTAACTGATATGGTTTCAAATTTTGCATTACAACTAGTGTTTAAGAAACTATCACTTGTTGGGTGTTGGTGCAGTATTAAAGATGAATACCCAAAGATAGCTCATAAGACTGTTAAATTACTTCACCCTTTTAAACTACGTATCTGTGTGAGGCTGAATTTTCTTTCTGTTCTTCGGTCGGAGCAACATATCCCAACTGAATGCAGAAACAGTTATAGGAATTCAGCTGTCTTTTTTTAAAGCTCACTCACAATCAAAGAGATTTGCACAAACATAAAATGACATCACTTTTTTCACTAATTTTTTGTTTCAGAAAATATATTTATTTTCATAAAATAATGTTATTTATGTTAGCCAATTGGTTTACTGCTACTTTAAATGAATTAATATTTTAAAATTATTAGTTTTAATTTCTAATAAGGTACACATAGATTGACATAAACAACATAAACAAAAGCTCTTTAGGGTCCTCAATAATTTTTAAGAGCATAAAGTAGTCCTGAGACCGAGAATTTGAGACCTGCTGCCCCAGGCCATAGCTGTCCCTATGAACATGTCTGTTTCTTCCACAAAAACTTTTCAGATGCAACAGATGCCTGCTCTCTTGGTCCCTCTTGCCATACTCCATCCTTGTTCTCTGTACTTTTTCCTTTTACTATTGACTTTACGTATCTACTTAGCCCTCTACTGCTCCAGGAGAGACCCTCCCACATTGAGCCATTCAAATGGCAGATTCCATCATCAGCCTTACCTTCTGATCTGGACTTTCGGGCACGCTGAGTTCTCGCCTTCTGGGCCCTTGTCATTACCGTGGACTTCCAAGTTGAGTCATCTTTCTTTGGAGGAACCCGATCCACCACTTTGAGCTTCTTTTCGATTCCACGTCCAGGTGAGGCTGTCCCTGGACCAAATGATGACTTGTGAATAGTTTAAATTGGGGTCTTCAGTGAGCCTCCTACCATCCCAATCAGTGACTTCCCTTCTCCTCCCTCTAACTCCCACCCTTTCAGATCTCTGTACCCCTGTACCTCACTTTTCTCCTGCCATTTCTCTATAAGTGTATCATTCTTCTTATGTGTACCTTTCTTTGTCTCCCCAGATTACCATCTGCTCTCACTCCTGGTATGACCTGATGTAGTCAACCAGATAAATCTGGGGAAATTCTAGAGCAGTGGGTCTAATTTCCTGATTTTGGTTTGTGTCACCTGGCGCTGCAAGGTGGCCACACAGTCTTGTCTAAGTGGAGGAGAGGGGTCCTATAAGGCACCTCTCCAGGTTCCCCCAGGGCCTGTGTGTGGTACAGGAGACATCCAAAAGTTTCCAGATGCCTTTAGTGAGCAAAGTGCAAGGTATTAAAAAATCTGAGAGGCAAGGACCCTGCCGAGAAGGTGGGTACTGTGAGGGAGAGATGGAAGGTGAGGCTGAGATCCAGAGGAGGCACAATGCCAGAGGTGCAGAGGTGAGTTTACTTTGTTGGGAAAGAGAACACAATTTTCACTGGCTGTGGACTGTAGAAGCTGATCCCACAGGATGACCACTGTCCTATTGAACAGGAATGTTTCTCTGCAGGATAGAAAGGACACAAGAGTGTGCAGCCACGCCTCCTGCAAGCAAGTGCCGGGGATAGCCGAAGGCCACTTCCACAGGAAAAGGCATGGGTGAACACTTAAGAGGCAGTGGAAGCGGAAGTCTGGTGAGACCCAGGCTGGCAGGAAGTTCAAACACGGAAGTTACTGAAAATTTATCCAGAAGAGGTGGGGAAGCCTGATAGTGCCTAAAACTTGCCTTGTTTTTTCCTCCTTCAATTTTGAAACATCTTTTTAAGTGTTTCGGTATTAAAAAAAAAAAAAAAGCTGATTAATTAAATGTAAAATAATGTGACTCTTAAAAATATCTCTGTTGGGCTGCAAGCAGGGAGGAATGGGGAGTTGTTTAATGAGTACAGAGTTTCAGTTTTACAAGATAAAAAGAGTCCTGGAGATGGATGGGTGATGGTTGCACAGCATTGTGAATGTATCTTAATACCGTTGAACCATGCACCTAAAAATGGTTGCAATGATATATTTTATGTCATGTGTATTTTATCACAATAAAAATATTGGAAAATTGAAAAAAAAATTTAAAGCATATCATCTGTCACATTTAAAATAAAATGGTTCCTTTAAAAAATCTCTAAAAATTCATTTAAATACAATATGAAGAAAGACAAACATGGAAGGGACTGGCATCTACTCCTTTCGGTAGCTTGGCAGAGAGGTGTCAGAAGGTCAGAGTTACCTCAACAGAACTGATCGTCTGACACGAGCCCCACACTCCAGAGGTTTCCCCTTTCTAACAAGGTCACTTCTCTGACCAGGGAGTGTTCGTAATTGTATATTTGCATGGACATGCCCAGTCCCCCTAACCCTATAATGTGTAGGGCATTATGGGAGTGGGCATCTCAGTACTGGGCTGCTGGTCATGGGATGTGCAGACTATCTATGTCTGCCCTAAATGGGGGATAATAAGAATTTGCAGAATTGTATTGGAAATTTCCCTCCAATGACCTTTAATTTGTATCTACACCACATGGTGCCCATCGTTTCTGTGACCCCTTTTCATAACACAATAATATATACATAAACTATCCTTTGTCAGATCATTATTCAAATTTTGGGTTGCAGAAAATATGTTTTCTTTCCCTTTTTTTGTTCAAGAAATAATTAATAGCTCATTTGTATGTGGATATTACCATCTAGCCTAGAAGAGACACATTATGTAAGTAATCGCAACAGAGTATTTGGAATCTTCCAAAAGAGCCAGTGCTGTGTGCTGTAGAAACTGCGGGACCAGCTTGGCTAATTTAAGGGTCAGAGTATGCATTCCTGAGGTAGACATAAGCCAATACCACTGATGAAAAGGAAATAACTAAACATTTATGGGGAGTAGCACAGGTTCAGAATATAGCATTCAAAGAGAAGAGCACGTGCAAAGGATCAAAGGGAAGAGAAATGAAAGGGGAGGAAATGAAAGTTCAGATGGGTTGACTGCAGTTTTGAGAGGAAAGAGACATATTAATAGTTGGAGGGTAAGGCAAGGGTTGGATTGGAGAGAGCTTTAACAATCACATTAAGGACAGTGAACATTATCCTAAGGGCAGTAGGACAAGATTTAAGCATGGAAATAAACTAATCAGATTTTAGTGTAGAAAAGAAGAGGGTGAACCAACAGAATTTGTCAATGTACTAACAAGAGTTCAGTTAGTCACGGATGACTTAGGCTTTTGCTTGGCACCTGGGTAAAGCAGGTTCCTCATTTCAAGTTAAATAACCTCTAAAATCCCCCAAGGGCCTGTGGAACCCTAATAATCTGATCCTTGTCTACCCTTTCACGTTCTATCACTGTCTTTGTTCATCATCGCCAACAACACTGGTCTTTCCTCTCTGCCTCAGGTCCTTTGCATTTTTGAGTCCCTCTGCCTGGACCATCCAATCCAAAGTGACCCCCACCCCAACCTGCAAGTCACTGTTATAATCCTATCCATTATTTTCTCTCATCCTGTCATCACTACTTGAAATGGTCTTGTTGATGCGCTTTCTAGTTTATATTCTTTCTCTCCCTCAGCCAGGTTGCAAGCTCTGTAATCTTTCCTCTTTCTTTTTTTTTGGTTCACTTTCTTGCTTTCTCTCTTTAAAAACACCTGTCTTCCATTTTCAGAATGGGTATATACAGTTAGTGCTCACTGCATGTTTGCTGAACAAATATCTGAACGGTACTTAGAAGACTAGGTTTCTGGTGAAGAAGATGAATTTAATTTCGGGTGTATTGAGACTGCAGTGTCAATGGGAGACTTGCAAACAAAGATGCCCAGTGTGCAGCTGGCTATGGGTGTCTTGAAGGCAAACCCGAGTTGAAGACGTAGGTTTTGGAGCCATCAGTGTAGAGGTGGTCATTGAAGTTGTGAGAGTGGTTGACAAAGCTCAGGAGTGTGAAGTGAATGACGTGAGTAGTTTACAGTAAACCAAGGAGGCTCATAGATAACACACACAACACGGTGAGAGGGCACTGACTTATAAGCAGAATGGGGGAGAAAGCAGCTTGTCTCTCCCGCCTGCCCAGGAAGGTCACTTACTTTTCATAGAATGGAATCATTTCTTTGAAGTACCTTAAAAGGACACTGGGATCATGCTAAGGGTAAACTAAATCAGGGAAAGGAAGCTTTAAGCCACTGGCTTAGGCTGCCATCTATTGCTCCATTTCCCTTTACAGCTACAGTTGTCTACCTATGTTACTACCTCCCATTCATTATTCTACGCATACAACTGGCTCGCGCCTCCATCACCAAAACTCTTCTTAAGTTTCCCAGTGATTCCATGTGACCAAACTCAAGGCTCTTTTCTCTGAATTTATCTTTGTCTCTCCGTATAGTCAACCGTTCCCTCTTGGCTTGCTGACATGTTCTTTCTTGGTGCTCCTCTGTCCTCACTGGTCTTGTCCGCTCAGTCTGCCTACTGGATTCCTCTTTCACTGGGATTTCTGAGAGCAGGGCTGGGCCCTTGGTTCTCTCTTCTTCTCCCATAGATTAGAATTCCTTTATTTTACTAATAACTCTCTCTCTCTCTCTCTCTCTCTCTCTCACACACACACACACACACACACACACACACACACACACACACAGAGAGAGAGAGAGAGAGTGAGAGGGAGAGAGAGAGAATGTATGTATGTATCTCTGGACCAGACTTTTTCAATGAGTGCCAAATTGCCATACTGTGAGGAAATATAACTTCCTGATTTCTCAGTGTTCCTATAAAAAGCCCTAGCTCCTGAGACATAAACATGTATATGATGTAAATATAAGAAATACTTGCTTTTGCTTCCCCAGAAACATTTCATTCTTCATATACTGTGAGAATTAGAGCTATACTTATTTTTCTAGTTAATTGCTCGGATCTAAAAGGATAATACAACTTCTCTTATCTCCTGAGATGGCCAAATGGGTTCACCCAGGACTAGCTTCCTAGGTTAAGTCCTAAAGTACCAGGATAACTGGAGTGGTCTTTCCCTAGGTATTTATATATCACAAGGGAGAAAGCCCAGATCTTGAAGACATCTTTAGGTTGTAAAAGCCAGAAACACCTGGAGTTTCTCTGGCCTTTGGAAAGACGCGTTTAAATTCCAAAGGCTTGGATGAGGACCTTTGGAATCAAGATCTTTTCCATTTTATCTCAAAGCAGCAAAGCTTTTTCCTTTTCCTTTCAGGAGGAGAGGATGATGGCTGTCCATGTCATGTATCTAAACAGGAAATCCATCCTTCTACATCCCTTATATATGAGTTGTAGTCTATTTTGAATAGAAAGATTCCATTAGCTCTCTTAGCATTGCCTGTGGGTTTGTGTATGGGAGATAGACTCTGCAATGTGACTCTGGCTGATGAGCTGGTTGTGAATATTGGTAAAGAATTATTTTCCCTAATCCAGATACCTTGTCTTCCTGCAGCACTCATATATATAAAGGACATATCAATGCAAGTGGAGTAACATCTCAGACCCTTTACGTTCCGGTCAAAACACACATGTATGCACAGCTGCATAGATGGCTAGCAGAAACCTCTAAATGAACAGGTCAAAAACTGAACTCTAAGAGTCATCCCCTAATACATTTGCATCTTCCCTCAGCAATGGGCGTTACCACTTAATCATTCAAGCTAGAAATTGAAGAGCAGGCCTTGACTTTTCTCTTTCTCATCTGTAGCTAACAATATGTCAAATCCTGTCAACATTATCTGCAAAACAGATCTTGTTTCCATTTCCACTGTCAGATCTGAATCCAAGCCCCTAAGAACTCTCTTGGCATCTGCCCCCAAATGGCTGCCCTTCCTCCATGCTTTCACAGCTCCAACTCATTCTTCACACAGTAGCAAAATTGAGCTTGGATTCTGCCACTTCACCGACTAAATCTCTTCAATGGCTTCCCATTGCATTTAGAATAAAATGCAGCCCTCCACGGCTTGACCTATAAGCCCTGCGTGAGCTGTCTCCAGCCTCCGGCTGCTTCTTCTACTCTCATCTTACCTCTTGGGAGGCTTTTTTTCTTATGCCTCTTTTTTGGAGTTGACCAGATACATCTTTTACTTTTCTTTCCTAAAATGAAAGGATAATGTTTTATAGTTACAAATATTGATCTGCCAATCTTACATATCAGTGATATTCAGCTTTTACTTTTGGCCTTCAAACCATATTGCTAGGAGGTCATTGGTGACCTTAGGTGATGCTACTTCAGGGAGTAGTAGGGGAAGAGGGACTCTAAAATGACAGAGAAGAAGGAGAAGTGAAGAAATGGAGACAGGAGTTTAGGTAGCTCATTTCTAGACACTTGGCTGTAAAATGAAGGAGAGAGCTATGGAAGTAGCTGAAGTGAGATGAGAATCAAGAAAAAGCATTTTTTTTTTTTTTTTTTTTGAGACAGAGTTTCGCTCTTGTTACCCAGGCTGGAGTGCAATGGCGCCATCTCGGCTCACCGCAACCTCCGCCTCCTGGGTTCAGGCAATTCTCCTGCCTCAGCCTCCTGAGTAGCTGGGATTACAGGCATGCACCACCATGCCCAGCTAATTTTTTGTATTTTTAGTAGAGACGGGGTTTCACCATGTTGACCAGGATGGTCTCGATCTCTTGACCTCGTGATCCACCCGCCTCGGCCTCCCAAAGTGCTGGGATTACAGGCTTGAGCCACCGCGCCCGGTCCAGAAAAAGCATTTTTTTTATGAGCTATGATACATGTAATTATTGTCTGAATGCAGATTCTTGTGTGAGAGATACTGCTGTAATGAATACTTGAGAGAGAAGGGATCATGGATACGACAAGATGAGGTGGAAGGATTGTCTTAGAAGAGAAGGGGGGAACTTGGAGAGGAGGGAGACAGAGGCAGTCAGGGTTTGCAAGGCTAGCAGCACAAAGAAGGGGATTCTCATCTGGTATCTTCTGATGATACAGGAGGGAAAGTCGTTGATTGAGCGAAAAGCAGGAGGAGAGGGAGTCAAAGGTTTGAAAAATAGGGCTTGAGGTTTGAAAGGATTATTGCAGGAAGCAGCACTGTCACACAGGAGGGAGAGATGATTTGTGCTGGAACCATGAATCCCAGCGCGTGCCGTCTGCCCAGCTGTGGAACTCCTTCCCACACTGCTGGCTTTCAGAGGCGGTGTGCAGGAAGCAGGTAAGCAGGGCCTTCCAAGACTTGCTAGAGAGTTCCAGGAAAAAGCAGAGAGGAAAGGCAGGTTTAAGATAATGACAATGGGCCGGGCGTGGTGGCTCACGCCTGTAATCCCAGCACTTTGGGAGGCCGAGGCGGGTGGATCACGAGGTCAAGAGATCGAGACCATCCTGGTCAACATGGTGAAACCCCGTCTCTACTAAAAATACAAAAAATTAGCTGGGCATGGTGGTGTGTGTCTGTAATCCCAGCTACTCAGGAGGCTGAGGCAGGTGAATTGCCTGAACCCAGGAGGCGGAGGTTGCGGTGAGCCAAGATCGTGCCATTGCACTCCAGCCTGGGTAACAAGAGTGAAACTCCGTTTAAAAAAAAAAGAGATAATGGCAATGGATTACTGAAATGATGAATTTTGGACTGTAGGTTAGTGTCAATGTTAAGAAAGCTGGGAAGCAAAGAAAAGCAGATGATGGCTTAAAAGGAGGATAGGCCAGTGCACTGGTGATCCAAATGAGGCTGAAGGACAGCTTCAGAGGAAACAACAAATAAACGAGAAAACAGAAAAAGATATTTTTGATTATTTTTTTTTTTTTTAGGATTGGGCTGGGAAAGAGTGATCAGTGGTTGAATGATAACTATAGAAGGAAAAAAGCTCAAGGATAGGTATCAAAAAAGGAATTCTGGAATTAACTGTTGGGAAACTGAGCCAGGTTTGAAAGATGATAAGGTCTGTAGATTGCTTTTCGGTATGGTTGGCCAAAAATTGGTGGAGGAAAACGTCATGGAAAATGAGAAGATGAAGGATTTGAGAGACCAGAGTATTGGATAACAGAATTGCCTGTTATCCATGTGTACCCTGAAGGCATCTAGGAAGATTCTGGGATTTGAAATGACAGAAAAACAGCCTGTGAAAGGATTACTGGGGAAATTAGTATTGGATGATATTGATGATGAGTGAGTGAACATTTTAATTGAATGGTTAAGCCTCAAAGGAGAGGATGGGGGAGGAAGGGGCTAGATGGGGTCAGTAGGCAGCAAAGGATGGACGTCTGATCTGCCTCCCACCATGAGGTGTGAGTGATGGATGACAGAATGCCCAGCCATGTCTTAAGAGGAAGTGGGGTCCTCTCTGGGGAACCAACTTCCAGTTAAAGAGGGAGGTGCAATTAACACTCTAAGAAGTTGTGGATATAGAAGACTGGTTATTTTTCAGGACAGGCAATCCAATGGCATATTTCAATATCTCCAAATGCCTTCTGGTTTCCTGATAATTTTCATAAAGACCTCTACGGAAGATGCAGTGAAAGGAAATTGTGGAAACAAAGTGTGCTTGGCATCAGGACTGTGGTCACATAGTGGTGCTCTTGATAAGATACAATCAGATAAACAGAAAGCAACTCTAATTCACCCTACGGGAGAAAGGCATTCCTTACCTTTCTTGTTCGAAGGCGTGCTGGATACCTCCTGGGGCTCTTCTGGGTCATTTGGTTCCAGAGAATCATCTCTTATCTCTGACAAAAGAAATATACGTCACTTCAGAGCTCAAATTAGGTGCAGAGAAAGTGCTGAGGGAAATCAGTGGAAGAACTAGAAAGCTAGAAAGTGCATGCGGCCCGGGGCCTGGGGATCTGCTAGCCCTAGGGGTTCCCTGGCTCTGTCTTGATTTTTGCCAACTTGTGGTTATTGCTACCTGTGTGACCATCACAGGGATCTAAGGCACAACTACCCCACAACAGAGGCTTAGTCTGATCCTTTTCGATTCTCTTATGGATGGAACAGAAGTGAGTGAAGAAGGTGCAATGAATGGAAATTGCAGAAGTAAACTGCTGGGTGTTAGGATCATAGCCAAGACAAGCCCATAGACCCCCTCCTTGTTCTCCCCTGCTAAGCTGAGCTCATAAGAAAAACAGCCTCGAGCCTTGTAAATAGGGCCTCTAGGTTCCTAGATGTGGTCACACCCAGCTCTCAAACCCATGCACCACCAAACCCCTCACTTGTTCCCTATCTAATCCCATTTTCTCACATTCTTTCCTCACCATGCCTTGCTGTCCTACTCCCATTCTAAGCAGAAAACCCCATCGCTAATGACCCCTTTATTTACCAACTCCTCCAAGCCGCACACCTCCCAGCTAAGGCGGGAGTTATACACTGCCAAAGACACCAAACAAAATCAGATATAATCTCAAAAGGGAATAGGAAGTTCCCATGAGGCAGCAAAAAAATGCCTCCCTTCCTCTGCCCCTACCACCCTTCTCCTCATGATCCCCACAATCCAACCCCAGTATTCCCCCACCGAAAATCTTCATTGTTACAACAAGGAGCCTCCTTCCAGATAAAGTGGATAGTCAAAAATCAAAAAACTCATCCTCCCTCAAAAACCAGCCAAGGAAATTGTAACATCTCTTCACCAATCCTTCCATATCGGTGCACACCCCCTGTACCTTCTCCTTCGCCCTTACTTGTCTTACCCCGTCTATTTATTGCACTGAAAGACACAACCTCAAACTGTCATGTTCGCTCTGTTACTTCCTCTCAAGGGGCCCTCGGCTCTCCTCCTGTCCCTCACATCAACCAAGAGAAAAAGCCTCACCCCGTAACATACCAAATAGTAAAAGTCCTCTCCTCGCCACTACTACCATGCGAAAAAAAAAAAAAAAGAAAAAAAGAAAAAAAGTCTCAAAAAGAGTTTATCCATAGGATTCTATCAGCCACCTCATAAACCCTTTAGAAGAGGCCACCTTCCCATACCTGCTTTCCCTATCTCTCCTGCCTACTCAGCTATCCCAGTTTCTCAATCCTAGGACCGTATTCCCATTCGCTTCTCACACACCATCCAAAAAGGCTCTGCCTTTGTAGACAGAGCCCTCACCGTCACTAGAACGACCCCACCGCCCTCGCTAACAGAGCTCCCAAACTTCTCTCCACATACACTACCAATTACAACCACACAAAACTCCCTCACCCTGCCAACCAAAGCCCCGTAACCCTCCACACCTCAAAACTTGGCCAAGCCCCCTTAGTGTCACCTTCTCCCAGGGACACATACACACAGGCACCATCCCTCCCTCTGCCTGTGGCTCAACTCAAAGCATCTCCAATTCCTCTTCCCATATCTCACTCCAAGTAAATTGTTAAGTTTCCCCTGAAGCTAACGGCCTCTTTACCCAGCCCGTCTTCATTACCTCCTCTCCTGCCTCTTAAACATGGAAACCCCTTCCCCGGACAGAAGCTGTCAAAGGGGTCTCTCTCTCTCTCTCTCTCTCTCTCTCTCTCTCTCCTCCTCCTCATTCTAGGTTGCTAAAGCTGGACCAAGTCCCTCCAAACAAGAAGCCTACACATTCCAACACCCATTCTCAATCCACTTGTCTGTTTACATTAACACCGCAGGCACCTTCTCTCTCTGTGAATCCACAACCTACTTCTGTCTCCTGCCAACTAGACAGGTGCTTGCACCCTTGTCTACCTGACCCCCAACATTGACCTTGTCCCTCCACACCGAAAACTCCCTGCCCTACTACACTACATGCCCCCCCAATATAGTTCATTCCCTTATTAGTAGCCCTTAAAGTCACAACTAGTGTCAGGTTAGAAGCAGGAAGCCTAAAAACCTCATTATCATAGTTTCAATTGCTCTCCCCAAACTGCCAATCGTCACTAAAAAAAAAAAAAAAAAAAAAAAAAAATGCAAACTTTATCACTCACCTCCAAAATCAACTAGACGCTTTAACAGCAGTTAGTCTACAAAAACTGCAGAGGCCTAGACCTCCTCACTGCTGAAAAAAAAAGTCTGTGCCTCTTTTTAAATATAAAATGCAGTTTCTCAATAAATCTAGGTGAGTGCAAAATAATATCAAAAGACTCAATGACCAAACCCAGAAAAAAACAAAACAAAACAAAAAAAACAATGCTTCCGCCTGGCCCTCCTGGCCTGGCTGGCCTCTCAGCTCCTGGGCCCCGTGGCCGCGTCCCCTCCTCGGCCCTGCTGTAACTCTCTTCCTTCTCTTGCTCTTTGGCCTTTGCCTCTTACCTTTTTATCCAGTTTTTGCAGAATCAATGACAAGCTTTTACCCGTGGCACAAGACAAGACATGATAATGTTCCAGGACTACCAACTTGCAAGCCAGCCTCACCCCAACCTGCATCCCTACTCAGCATGAAGCAGTTAGAAATGAATGGCGCCCCTTTTCCCTTTCTTTTATATATATAACAAAAGACTGGAATGTTAGGGTCACAGCAAGACAAGCCCATAGACCTCCTCCCTGTTCTCCCCTGCTAAGCCAAGCTCGTAACAAAAACAGCCACAAGCCTCGTAAACAGGGCACCTGGGTTCCAGAACGTGGTTGCACCTGGCTCTCAAACGCAGGCTGTTAACCCAATTAAGCAGAATGTCAGCCCCTGAGAACCAAGACGCAGTTTTTCTTAGACTAGCACCGGCTACCTGCAACCCCCCCCCCCCACCCATATAATCCCCATCGTGTGTAAGCCAGGCTGCTACCTTCATTGCCAGTGGTGAGGTAGCCGGCCTGGCAGGTTAACTTGCCAAACCTGACCCTGGGTCTGCTTCTCCTTCCTTTTGGTCAACCCTACACGGGGTATCATGACTACAGTCACACAGTTGCTGCTCTCAGCAGCCCTTGCTCAAGGAATGAAGCAGAGAGCGGGAAGTGGTGACGTTGAAATCTGATGGCCACAATGAAGGGGGATGTCTTTGCTGTATGAAAAATATATCTTGTTGCTTTGATGTCGATGTATGAATATTCTTTAACTGCTCTATCTGTGGTTATTTTACTTGGAGAAATAGTGAAGAAGTCTAGGTGCCTTATATATTTCCGTGTATAAGGATTGTGTGAAGAAAGCAGAAGCTAGCCTATGCTTGCTAGCATCTGTTAACAGCAAAGATATATAATGCTCTGCTGGTCTTTGCTGCACGAAGAAAGACAGAGGGCTTGAAGCCATAACAAATAAAGGCCCATCTCACATGAAGCTGTCACCTTTTTCTTTACACACTGCTATGAGATCAGCCTCAAACGCTGGCCTGCTTAGGAATAGGTGACCGAGGCAGGTGGCAAGCAGTCATTAGATCTTTGGAATAATTTATTACCTTTCAAATTATATTAGGAATATCAACTCTTAAACTCCACATGACATAGAAATGACCAGGGTTGAAAGTGAAAATTCCCCACAGTCAGGTCGGGGCTTGGAAGGAGGACCATCCAGGTCTGTGGCACTAATTCACTATTAGGGCTGCACAGTGCCCTTGTTCATTTGCTTTGCATTTTGACAGAGCAGTTTTGAGCACGACTTCATTGAAGTGGCCTCAGAAGAGTGGCTGTGTTAAACTGTCCAGCCTGACTCAGTTCCCTGTTCCCCTGGGGTTCCTGCCACAACTTGTGGCAGGTGAATGTGTCCTTTTCAGGCACGTTGTGGTATTCGGAGTCCAAGCCTACAGGGAGCGGTGGGGCTCTAACCCTCGTCATCTATGGCCCTATCCAAGTCTGCCTTTTCCAGACTTGCCTCCTGCACCCTCCCCAGGGACTCTGTATCCATTCAGAGGTCAGATCTTCTGCCTGTCCACACTCCCAAGTGCTGGGTGAACTGGAAGCTGAGCCAAGATTGCTGCTGAGAGGTGAGTGGAGAGCCTCTCAATCTTCTAGATCCAAATGGCTTTTCCTCTCAGTAGACACAGAAACAAAGGCAAGCTTTTAGGTGAACTGAATCAAGATTACCTGGCATAGGGCCCGAGGGGGAGTGGGGCATCTCTTGAAGGCCTTCTTTATCTTTTACTTGGGGGATCAGGTTGTCACTGGGCACTGAACGGAGGAAGAAAAAGTTTCAGATCTCAGGAACAACAAGCAGGGACCAGAGTGAGGAGGGAAGTGAATGCTCTATTCCAACAAGCAAAAACAACAGAGTAACTGAGCAGCCAAGGCCTGGGCAGGGGTGGAATGGAGTGGGAAAGTCAGCAAACATTCACACTCAATTATCCACTTGTTCTTCCATTGCTGTCAGCTTCCTGATTACGTTAACCTTTTTGGACGGTAGGCATTAGAGGAGTGGATGAAACATTATTTGATGAATAACTCCTTGTCCCCATCCTGTTGGGAGGCATGTCTTAAGAAATCCGCCCCCCCACCCCCCGCAAGTAATTCTAAGTCTCCAAGGTACTGATGTGTGTCCCTTCACCAATCCCAGTTGGTGCTTCCTGTGAACAGCACCTATGAAACAGGGGAAGGGGATTTCGTATTACATAAAGGGATTTCTTATGAAGGGGATTTCTTAACACATGCCTTCCAGCAGGAGGGGGCGATGGAATTATTCACTGTTCTCCAGGTGCATACATCAGAGAGGACCCCTATTCTCAGTACTGGAGAGCTCAGAATCCATGATCTCATTTTTGACAATGCCCAATAACATACCATTCTCATATTTAATGTAATCAAATTCCATTATGACAATGGTTTGGGAGGACAAGTGAGACAATTTTAGAAGCTAAGTATCAGGTCGAGCAGACATTTAACTATTTTATCATCTTTTCTAGTAATTTTGATAACATTGCTCTTAGAATCCAAACCATATACAAATGAAGCAGGTTGAAAATCAAAGGCTCCCATAATCAGGTGGGCGTGAGGAATCCACTAAGGGTCACTAGCTTGAGTATTACGTAGGTTACTTGTCCATGCAGAATGGTGTTTTGGTTGTTGGTTTGTTTTGCATTGCTGCATTGGGGAATAGGCCCCTTCTGCTTCTTTGTCTTTGTCACGCCCAGTTTTTTTTTCCCAGGGTTCCCACCATAGCCTCTTGGTTGGCAGATATTTCTCTTCTCCCTTCACACCTACCTTGAGCTAAGCTGTATCAGCCCCAGACAGTGTTACCTTGCACAGTGCCAGTGAGGAGGCTAGGCATCTCTTTTGAGTCTTCTTCCTCATTCATTTTGGGTGTTAACTTGTCATTAGTCACTGAAGGAGGAAAGGAAATTATTACAGATCACAGGGACTGGATGTGAGGGAGGAGGGTGAATGTTAGAAGCTCCTGGGGGAGATAGAGCCTCAAGGCACAAGGGTGGAGGGTTGGGCTGTCCCAGGAGTGGGAAGCAGGAGTTCTAGACTCTAGGTCTTACCCAGCCTCCTGGCAGTGCTCATAATTCCCCTTGAAAAGGGCTGTGTATGGGCAGGTGGGTGCAGGGGAAGAACTAGGACAATAAAAGACAAGTTGCTGGGATTGGAGGCAACATGGCACAGGCACCCTACGCTGGGGATATACAGGTGTTGGATGGGATCTGCTTCTCACCTGGAGTGTTCCTTCCTTCCTGGATGAGTCCAGGAAGAGGCAGGGTAGGGTCAGATGGGCTGGGTGATTCACTCAGGATCTCTTTGCTTTGCTGTGAGGATGTTCCAGGCTCACTGACTCTTGGCGCACAGGATGAACAGCTTGGTTGAGGGGGTTGTGGTTGGGGCAGCGGCAGCAGGGTAGGGAGGGAGCTTCCTCCTGCCAGGCCAGCTGGGGCTTCAAGTGGGATTGGTGTGTCTCTGCTCTGCTGTTCATAGGAAGCTCTGCTCTGCTGTTCACCAACTGGGATTGGTGAAAGGACATACATCAGTACCCTGGAGAGACTCAGAATTACTTGGGGAAGGGGATTTCTCAATTCACGCCTTCCAACAGGATGCGGACATGGAGTTATTCATTGTCCCCCAGGTGCATAGAACTGATTCACTGTCACCGTTATCCACCTGCAGCCCCTTTCTATTTTATTTATCCAGTTTGGGTATTGCGATCTAAGCCCTGATCTAATACCCAAATGGCTTCACACATAAAGTTGGGTTTGGGTTTGTACCCAGGAATTTAATTGTCTTTAATTTTGGTGTCATACAATTTAGTCAATAATGAACATGCCACAGTTTTAAAAGAAGTCTCTGTTTTAATAAATAAATAGATCATACTTCCCCAAAGCAAACAAGAGAAAATAAAAATTTCTTAGCAGGATATATTAGGACATTCATATTCTGGTTTCTGCTCATTTCTATGGAGTCAGCTTCTGTGCCTTCTTTTATACCCTGTGGTCTGGCCACACCCAGCTTTCTCTCTCATCCGCAATACCCCAGACCCTTGGCTTTCCACATGCTATTCCCTTGCATGGCTAGTGCTGGGTTTCTCTTACGATTCTTCTCCATCATTTATTTCAGAAATAAAATGATCTCGACCAGTGAATGGAGAAAGGAAAGTAACTTCAAATTTTGGAAAGAGATCCAGAACAAAATCATCAAGTTGAAAGTCGGGGAAGATGACTGAAGCTCAGCCAGGTCAGGGGCACATCCGTGTGTGGGTCCCCGTGCCTCTCAGATGTTCTTCACATTGCCTTTAAGGTGATGCCTCTCCTAATGTTGCCAGGATCCTGCCAGGGCAGCAGGCCCTCTGGAGCTGCCCCTGCCTGTAGGTGGACTTACCCCTTTCACTGTCCCTTTAGGTCAAGAAATCATCTGCCCCTTTGGGGGGAACCCTTTAGTGGTGAAGTGTCAGAGAGCAAAGGAGGAACTGTCAACGATGGTGATTCCACTAAAGAAAATATCACAATCCTACGTGGGCTAGTGGCCCTTCCCTTGTTGTTCTGAGGCAAGTGAACATACGCTTTGTCCACACTGTTTTTCTTCCAACCTAAAATGACTTCACTGCCTGCTCTTTTACCCTGGCTGCTTTCTTCCCAGCTCTGCCACTGTTCTTTTTCCTGCTCCTTTATTTACCCAGTCTCTTTTCTTTCTCCATGTGCTTCACGTTCCATTCTTTCTCAGACCCTCTCTGTGGTTGTGTCTGCGACTCCCTCCCTTTCTCCGTAGCTACCTTCCTTCCCTTCTTTAGCATTACTGTATGCCTTCCAGCTGTCCTTGTTTAGACTAGTGGTTAAAATCTCAGGCCCTGGTGTTGGGAGACCCAAGTAGGACTCTTGCTCTGCTTCTTAACACACAACAGACAATTAACTTTGAGAAAATTACCTCTGGGCTTTAATTTCTCTGTTGGTAAAACGAAGACAAAAATGACTTCACAGGGTTGCTTTAAGGATGATATGAGATAATCAAATAAAGTATTTGTGATAACGCAATAAGAAAAAGATACTTCTTATTATCCATCCTGATTCATTCTTCTTCCTCCCTGGCTGACCTTGTCCTTCCACCAGACCTGGTCTCTGTAACTTTGCATTTTTGTCACCTTATGCATTCCCTATAGATTGTCCGGTATGCCAAATTGTACGATTTTTTTCCAAATTCATAGAACACACAAAAAATGTTTATGCCCTCTAGAAATTCATCTTAGAGAGCTGGGGTCAGCTTTAGCAAGGGGCTGCCCCTGCAGCCGTACCAATGAAAGAAAATGAGTCCATTCGTTCCCAAAGAGAAAGCCAGGGATGAATGTGCATATTCCACAGGGCTAGAAGCAGACCCAGACTTTTACCATAGCAACTTTTTAAATGCAAAAAGCACTTGAGAAATCTCATTACCACGTCTGAAGCTTCTGTAAATCGTCACCAGATTGGGATATTCATGCAGGTTAATCTGACTGAACAATGTCACCAGAAGAGACAGGTTAAAAGTCCTCTCCAGCTGGGTGAGAATGTTGTGCACCACTTTGGATACGGGGACCAAATTTCTGCAGGCTTCCAGAGATTCCTTAAAAAATGGAGTGAAGGTTTATTATCAACGATTATAAAATTGAATGGGAAGTTATACACTTGTGATCTTCCAAGTTTTAAGAAAGCTACTTTACTCTTTTAAGAAGAAATTTAACATAAAATGTAGAGTCACAGTTTCTAAGGTAGAGTCGTCACAGTTTTACATGCTTATTTTTGAAACTTTACACCTATTTGGCTGACTAGTGACAAAAATAAATAATTTAGCTTTCTTTAAAGTAAGTCTATATTCTGAATCCACATTTCAGGCACATTTGAGATAAGAGAGAAATTTTAAGGAAGGAAAGTGGGATTAAAGGATGTGGCTGTATAACCGATTCTTTAAGGCCCTGGGCAGGATGCTTCAGCAATGGTTCTAGTAATGGTCAATTACTAGACAATTCTGTTGATTGCATGTTAGCCTCTGCACTCTCTCTGTGTGTGTCTCTCAAACTTGAGATGGCCTGAATGGACTCCAGCCACAGGGAAATCACCCAGAGAATGTTCCTTGCTGAGAGGATGGACAAAAGGAGAAATATGGCAAACGAGAATTGATGCAAACGTTCATTGAACACCTACTATGCTCAGTCAGCAAGTCTTTAGATACACAGCACTGGATAAGACCAACATGGAGCTGCCATATTTGGGGGGCGGGGTAGGCACTGTCAGGTGGAGAAGATGGGCAATAAACAATAAACACAAAGAAATATCCATTTACAATTGAGAGTAGTGTTATAGAGGGAAAGCATAGATTGCAATGGAACCAAATGACGAAGGGGTCTTAATGAGATGAGTGGGTCAAGGAGACATCTCTGAGGAGTACTATCTCGTCTGTGATCTGAAGAGGGAGTTGGGTCCACCAGGCTAAGACTAGGGGAAGATTGCTGGCACTTCCCTGAGTCTGGGGCTCAATAAATGCTTTTAAAAACCCAAATTATGTAAAAATGGGTCCACTTTTGTCCACATAGCATATCTCCCAGTGCCTGCCTGTCTCACATCAGAATGCACTGTGAGCAACATAAGCTGTTATAAATTGGGATGATGCCTGTAGTGAGTTGAATGGTGCCCACCTCAGCCAAGATATATGGATCTAGAATCTGTGAATGTGAACTTATTCGGAAAAAGTGTCTTTGCAGTTGTAATTAAGTTAAGGATCTTGAGACAAAATCATCTTTGATCAGGGTGACCCTAAATCCAAGTGTCCTCAGGAGATTAGGTAGAAGACTCAAAAGAGAGGTGATGTAGAGAGGGAAATAGATTAGAGTGATGCCTCATGTCTACAAGGCAAGGAACACCAGGGATTTTCAGCAGCCACCAGAAGCTAGGGGATAGGCAGGGATCAAATTCTCCTCAAGGCCTCTAGAAGGAACCAACCCTGTCAACACCTTGGGTTTGGGCTTCTGGCCTCCACAACTGAGAGCATATATTTCTGTTGTTTTCAGCCACCTGATTTGTAGTCATTGTCACAGCAGTCCTTATGACACCCTAGAAACCAATATAGCCCCTAAGACACTCTCCATCCTAATCACCCCCACCTTCTGAGATAATGAACATGGCCAGGCTAGACCTTCCAAACTCTAGAGGCCCTAGTGGTTTGTGGTTTGAGACCTCAATAATTGGGTGTACTTGGTGGGGGCTGGGCTCCCACGGAAGGGTCCAACAGGACTCACCATGTACATTCTCTGAGTGATGAAGGAGTTGTCTCGGAGGCCTTCAAAGAAGGGAAATGGCTTGTCTATGGCATAGGCGATCCTCAGCTTCTGGTACATGAAGTGCTGAAAAAGAGCCTCTTCCATGGCTCTTGTCATGGTGAACATCCTATGGAAAAACGCATAATAAAAAATAGAAGCAAAGGCCAGGTGTGGTGCTCATGCCTGTAATCCCAGCACTTTGGGAGGCTGAGATGGGCAGATCATGAGGTCAAGAGATCAAGACCATCCTGGCCAATATGTTGAAACCCTATCTCCACTAAAAATACAAAAATTATCTGGGCGTGGATGGTGTGCACCTATAGTCCCAGCTTTTGGGGAGGCTGAGGCAGCAGAATCGCTTGAACCAATGAGATGAGGTTGCAATGAGCTGAGATCATGCCACTGTACTCCAGCCTGGGTGACAGAGCAAGATTCCATCTCCAAACAAACAAACAAACAAAATAGAAGCAAAGACTTTGAGGCGTGCGGGGAGCTTCTCTCTGCATTAAATGGGCAGCTGTAAAGGTGGGCATTCTGGTGTCAAAGGCATCCTTAGTAACCTGCAAGGCAATGTCCGCCTAAAAGCCTCATGGGTATTGGAAACAATGACAATTTCAAGCAATAATGGAGGCTGAGAGTGACTGAAAATATAATGACAGAATCCCAAGGGGCTGCAGGTGAACATAAGGCAGATATTAAAAGTAGCTGATATTTATAGAGTGTTTCCTCTATGAATATCATTTAAACCACTCCCAATCTTCAACACAAATGGGCCAAGCATAAACGAAAGTGTGAGGGCTAAGAAGCATACTTAGTAAAAGTGACTTAACTGACTTGTTCAATGCAACCATTTCATATCTCAGACATGTGCCTTTCCCAAGCCCATGCAACATTTATTACAGATTGGCCATTTATGGACCATGAGAAGATATTGTTAGGTTATAATGGGCAGAAAATTTACAAATGACATTCTTGACAAATTGTCAAGAAAAGGAAATCACTAACAAAACATTCAATGGATTTCAGATTTTTTAAAAAACAAAACAAACACGGATTCCATTTTTTCCAACTTCATTTTGTGTTGAACAGAAATTAAATTGTAATTAACAACTGTTTCCAGGGGTTTAATCCCAGTGGCAGATGAAGCACCCCAGTCTCTTTCTCCTCATTCCCAATTTTTTTTAACTTGGCAGAAAAAGAAATCATGAAAGGAATAATCTGCAGTAGCACTGGAAAACCAGAAAAGATGCCACAGAGTCAGTGGTAGGGAAGAAGTTTTGGAAGACAGAGAACAGACAGGAGACATCTACTATCCACAATATACCTAGGGGAAGGAGATAGTGCAAAGATCAGTACAGAGTCAGAGAAAGTCAGAACGAATGAATATATACTAAGAAGAGGAAGGGGTCTTGAGGCTCCTTTTAGGACAATTCATTACACAGCAGTGCTCAGAACAGGAAGTCTGAAGCTTCCTCATTCTTCATCTGTCATGAGTCCCAAAGATGAAAGGGAGGCACAGAGAGATTAAGTAACTCACCCAAGGTATTCAGTGGCAAAGTAGAGCTTGTCTGACTCTAACGTCCTGTTTCTATGCAAGATACTACATCTCATCAATGACTGTTCATATTTTTATTATGTAAAAAGATTTTGCAAACAAATAAGCAAAAGACAAACATCCAACTAGAAAAAAAAAGCAAAATACACGAACAGGAAGTGATAAAAGAATAATCCAAATGTACAGTGAATATATAAAAAGTATGTTAACTAGCTAGTAGAACATATAAATGAAGGCTGGACACAGTGAGTCATGCCTGTAATACCAGCACTTTGGGAGGCCAAGATGGGCGGATCACCTGAGGTCAGGAGTTCAAGACCAGCCTGGTCAACATGGTGAAATCCTGTCTTTACTAAAAATACAAAAATCAGCTAGGTGTGGGGGCACATGCCTGTAGTCCCAGCTACTCAGGAGGCTGAGGCAGGAGAATCTCTTGAACCTGGAAGGTGGAGGTTGCAGTGATCTGAGATGGTGCCACTGCATTCCAGTCTGGGCAGCAGAGTGAGACTCCATCTCGAAACAAACAAACCAACCAACTCCAAAACAAAACAAAACAAAAAAATCCAACGTGTAAATGAAGACAGTTTGATAACGTATTTGTCTATCAAATTGGCCAAGGTAGAAAATAATGGCAATAATTCCAGACACTGTGAGTGGGAAGGTAAACAGGTCCGAATGTTCTGGAGGCTGATTTAGTAATCAGGTTCAAATGCCCTAAAATATCATTATGTCCTTGAAACAAATTACAGAATTCCTTTGTATTCCCACTTCTAATAATTTATTTCAAGCAAATAATCATGAATGTGTTTAAAAAAACGTATAAAAAGTTCATGAGACACTGGAGAGGAAATTAAATGTACTGTCAGGTTTTCCTTTTCAACCAGCTTCCCAAGGACCTCTAATCATTTACACAATGGATAACAGATGAGCCGCTACTGCGGGCAGGGTAGGATCAGAGTGGAGGGGAGGGTAGAGGGCCAGTCTGGGATCCACTCACAATAACAGGCTAGATTCTACGGGGAAAAAAAGAGTTGTTATCAGTTTTCCCTCCAAGGCCCTCCTTTTAACCGTGTCCTGGTAAGTATCACGTGCCTGAGCTCTGAGAGCTTCTCAGAGTTGAAATAGTTAAACTCCACCCTGCAGCTGCTGCCCGGAAGTTGGTTATAAAAGCTGTAGTCACCAAGAGCGAAGAATAAAGCAGCAAAGACAGAAACTCACCTGGACGCTGGGCTTGTTGTTTCTGCCCTTTGCCAGGTTCCCGGGGCTGGGCCAGGGATCACTCCTGTGAGACTGGGAGATTTACGGGGAAAGGCCAGCAGGCACAAAAGGAAGTCTGTGCTTTGTTACACGCAATAAGGGGCCAGTCTTCGGAGAAAAGAAAAGTGAAACTGTTTGGAGTTTGCCAAGCAGGAAGCTGAAGCCAGGTCGGTGCCTGCAGCCTCTCTCCACATTCTCAGGGGCATTTGTGAGGTTCCCAGGGTGTCTTGGCAGATGGGGTTTGGGGGAGGGCATGTTGCCAGTTGGGATCAGCCTAGAGAGAGGGGTATGGGAGGAGGGGGCATAGGGGTCCAGCCCCAGCAGCAGTGGGAACTGGGAACCCACTGTCCAGCTGCTTCCCTACCCGTGTCGATTTTCCCATGACTTATCCTTATTCTGTACATTTTATGGTGATTAAAACGTTCTCAAATTGGATTGTGGTGATGTTTACATAATGGAATAAATTTGATGGAAATTATTAAACTTCAACAACACACACAAAAAAGAAAGGAAATGTGCCAGAAATGCCTAGAATTTGTCAGGATAAGATTATTACATGAAGAAATTGAAATGAAAGGGAACCTGCACATGAACTAGAATTGTGCAGAAGCAGGCAGACCTCCAGGCAGAAAAGTGGCTGACAGCTGCAGGTAGGTGGGAGCCCGGAGTCCGAGGCAGAGCTGGGGCCTGCTGACTCCGGGGCAGCAACTCAAGGGCTGGCTGGCTGGCTGGCAGGAACACCCTTTCTCAGGCCCCTTTTAAAGATCCCTAATGTACATTGGCTTGTGGGGCCTATGAAAAGTCCTCTAAACTATTGGCCAGGCACAGTGGCTCATGCCTGTGTCTTAGCTAGCACTTTGGGAGGCTTGAGGCAGGCAGATCACTTGAGGCCAGGAATTCAAGACCGGCCTTGCCAACATGGTAATAATGGGAAAACCATAACTGTTACTTCACATGCTAGTGATTATATACTGAGAATCCATTAAAATTATATATAATTCTTTTTAGCTCCATTTTGTTGAGGTATAACATTTATTAATTGGTATTGGTACATTATTAAAATGTAATTGGTATTACATTTTACCAAATGTAATTACTGCACCAGTCAAGATACAGACTATTTATAGGCTGAAAGAGTCACTTGCGTCTATAATCCCAGTGTTTTGGGAGGTTGAGGCAGGAGGATCACTTAAGCCCAGGTGTTTGAGACCAGCCTGGACAACATAGCAAGACCTCATCGCTACAAAACTAAATTTTTTTTTTTTTTTTTTTTTTTTTTTTTTTTTGAGATGGAGTTTCACTCTTGTTACCCAGGCTGGAGTGCAATGGCGCGATCTTGGCTCACCGCAACCTCCGCCTCCTGGGCTCAGGCAATTCTCCTGCCTCAGCCTCCTAAGTAGCTGGGCTCAGGCAATTCTCCTGCCTCAGCCTCCTAAGTAGCTGGGATTACAGGCACGCACCACCACGCCCAGCTAGTTTTCTGTATTTTTAGTAGAGACGGGGTTTCACCATGTTGAGCAGGATGGTCTGATCTCTCGACCTCGTGATCCACCCGCCTCAGCCTCCCAAAGTGCTGGGATTACAGGCTTGAGCCACCGCGCCCGGCTAAATTTTTAAAAATTAATTGGGCATGGTGGCACACACCTGTGGTCCCGCTACCAGGGAGGCAGAGGTGGAGAATTTCTTGAGCCTGGGAGGTCAAGGCTCCGGTGACGGGTGACAGAGTGAGACCCTGTCTCAAAAAAAAAAAAAAAAAAAAAAAGACATAGACCATTTCTGTCACCCCAGAAAGTTCCTGTGCCCTTTGCAGATAATTCCCTCCTTAAGGCCAACACCAGGTAATCACTGATTTGTTTTCTATCACTAAAAATTAGTTTTATCTATGTTAAAGTTTGTTATTTATCAATGAAAGCACATGGAATGCACTTTTTGGTGGATGGGTTTTTTTCCCAAAAAATTACGCTTTTGAGATTTATCCTTGTTGTGGGTCAGTAATTTATTCTTCTTCAGCAGGTGTGCTGGCCACCAAGCTCTTGCCGATTCTGTCTGATCAGCATGATGTCACCAAATATAATTGGTCAGTCTGACATTCTATGGGATGTCCAGGTGATCCAGATACCTTTCAACTATATTATGACTAAGGGTAAGGGAGTTAATATAACCTGCCTGGACTGCCTATTTTCTTAGCCTAGTCCTCTGGCTTTCCCATACATTCTGTGAGCAACCCAATGTAGTTCTAAGAAATTGACTTTCTGCCTGAGGTAGCCAGAGTTGGTTTGGATTACTTTTACTCCCAAATCCTGACTGATAAAAAAATTGGGTAGCAGAGGTTGAATTATAGGTAAGAGATATTCAAGGAAAAATGATCAATCTGGGATTGGTTATCTGACGTAATTGGACATAAAAGCAGTGAACATCCCCATCAGCATTCAGAGTCAGGAATTGAGGAGTCATGAGCAAGCAGGGGTGAGTTGACAAATTAAATTACGACACTGGATTGTGGTTACGACTTTACAATTCATTTCCCCAATTCCAGGTGTCAGATTCTAGCATACTTAGCAAAATGAAGAGAAATCTTTTAGGTAGAATGAAAGCATTCATTTACCTTTGGGGAGTATCACCTACTTGCCCTAAATCTGGATGGGGGAAGAGAGACAGGAAGCAGGCTGGCGCCTTCAGGCCCCACAGGTCACATGACAGTAAAGGAAGACATTGGGAACCAGGGATGATCTGATGGTCCTACACGTGCCTGACCCAGGCATCCCTTACCCAGGAGAGGTTCTGTAGTGAGCATAGGGGAAAAACAAGACAAATGGGAAATAGAACGGAAATTCCAGGCTGTCCTTACCTGAGTTAATGCATGGTGTTGCAGAGCAGGGCTTTCTAGTAGCAGCAGTATCTCTGAAGTCCCAATCTTACCACCAGTCAGCTGAGGAACACCAATGGCCTTGTGCTTATAAGCAAAAGAAGCTGGCAGATTTTCAAAAATATCCAGTTCACTGGTGTCCTGGGCCTGCCTGCTGCCTATAGGCAGAGAGAAGTGGCGGGTGGGGGGGTGGGTGCTGAAGCAGCTGGTATTATCTGTGCCAGGCCTTGTTGGAACCCCATGGGACAGCTGTGTCCAACAGAGGGCCAGCTTACTAGCCTTTCTTGTTCTAGAGAGGGAGGGAGGAAGAGCGAGAGTGAGAGCGAGAGAGCAAGCGAGAGAGAGAGAGAGAGAGAGAGAGAGAGAGAGAGTGAGAACCAGACATATGCAAGATCTGGTAGTCACAGTGACCCTGCCTGCCTACTGGAAAAGGTGTCCTCATCAGTGTTCTGGAGTCTGTCCCAACAAGATTGGTGTTTGTTCCTTTGGTAGAAAGCAAGCATAAGTGGGGAGGGGGTAGAAATGTCTCGCCCTCTATATTTTGCAAACTTATGTATGCAAATTTCCTTGCATATGTGTAATGAGCCAGAAAAAGTAGGATTCATGGGCAGATGTTTTGGAAAAATACTACTTTGCCTCTGGCTTTTCAATCTTCACCACTGCTCTGTCACTGGCCCTGGGTTCTACTTAGCCCTCTGTCTTTAACCCATTGTTCTGCCTGGATTTCAAGTCCTGAGATTTTACTTATTATATTTGTTCTTTACTCCCATTTGTTTATCACTTGACTTTATGCTGATACAGTGTGTTTTTGTAAATTATTTAAAATCCTTTACAGAATGAGGGCTGGGTCTAAATGAGAAATTGTGTACAAACATAAATGTCATACAGCTATCCTCCGGTATCATATGGTCGTTGAAGGTCTAGATAATCAGCTCCACATCCTTTCCCTGTGCAATGAGAAGGCTATCGCTTTCCTCAAGATTTCAGTGAGATGGTGGAAGCTCATTTTTTCCCCCATTACCCCTGGCTGCACTTGTAAAGTGGCCATGTATTTGAGAAAACTTAGAATTGCGCTTCTCTTGCCCAACCTCAGCCCTCGCCTTTGGCTGGAGGAGTTGAGAGAGCTGTCTCTTATCTCTGTCTGCTTTCAAGGAGTGCTAAGGACATCTCCCTCACTTTATAATGCACAGTATTTCAGTTCTCTCTAGGGCCATCTCCAAACACTGGGCCTAACTCATCCAGCCCAGGCTCACCAAGGTGCATGGCTAGCCCTGGAGCCTGACTAAAGATTTGAAACACCTGGTCTTCACTTGTCCTTCTCAGCCACCTCAGCAAGGGGTAGGGACAAATGTGGAGTTTGCTTCCTCCTCATGATGCCACCTTACCTCAAAACAACTTTGATCTGCTTGAGTGGAACGACTTTTTCACGCTCTTTCTTTGGCAGGAACAAATGACCCCATCTTCCGTGGCCTCATGGGGCTGGCTCTGCTCCTCCTCCCTTGACTGCAAGACCTAACGGTGATTGGATGGAGAGAGGACTGTAGAGCTGGCGTACCCAGGTCAGGTGGTTAGACAGTTTCACTTTTCTTCTCTTCTTTGGCCCAGCCACAAGGGGCAGCTGGCAGTTTCACCTCAGAGCTGCGGGAAGGGACAGCGGCAGTGAAAATCGAATCAGGTGTGATCCTAGGCTGAGCTCATGGCCCAGCGGGGCCAGCAGGGGCAGATGGCAAGTAGAGGCAACGATCTCAACTTCAGGTGGGTCATCATCTCCTTTCCTGTCTGTCCTTCAGCTCTGGTAGGGTTCCCATTCACACTTGTCACTTAATGTCTACTCAGCTTCACTCTACAGCTATACAGTAGAATGAGGTTACAAATAAATAACAAGGCAATCAGATTTCTTAAATTGCAGGGATTGGCTGTTGGAGAAACTCAAGGGTGCTCTGACTCACATGGTCTTCCTATTTCCTTACATCTGTGAATGGCTGGACTGGAGCTGTTTGAACGTCTTGCGCCTTCTGAGGCTTTGTTGTAGGATTGGATGATTACCCATGATCTCTGAACCCTCTCCTCTCCCCCAGGCCTCCTTTATACCTACCCCAAAAGACGACTCTGTCTAAAAAAGATCTTTTTAGAAGAATTAAAATCCAAATACCTGTCTGTTGTCACACATTCCAGGCTGTGTAGCTGGGGACCAGTTCTGCTCTGAGCCCATTTATATGGCTCTTAGCCCTAGAATCAGTTCAGGATCTCCGCGTACTTGGTAGGAGGAAGTAACAGCAGATGAGACCCAAGAAAAAATAGCAGCAGGTAGAGAGGGAGTGCTGCTTCTGCTATTTTTATTTTTCTGTTCTGGTATGTTTTACATATCTGGTTAGAGAAGCCTGGAAATAATCATTAAAAAATATAAGGCAAGACCAGCCTGACTGACATGGAGAAAACTAAAAATACAAAATTAGCGGGGCATGGTGGCACATGCCTGTAGTCCCAGCTACTTGGAAGGCTGAGGCAGGACAATCGCTTGAACCAGGGAGGCAGAGGTTGCAGTGAGCCGAGATTGCACCGCTGCACTCCAGCCTGGGCAACAAAAACAAAACTCTGTCTGAAAAAAAAAAATAAATAAAACAAGTTATGTCAATACAGTCATTCTTTCCTATCTGTGAATTCTGTATCCATGAATCTAACCAACCATGAATGCAAAATATTTTTTAAAAATTAAAAACATTAATAACAACAATAAAAAGTAACATAAAAATCTAAAATACAGTATAACTATTTGGCATTTACATTGTGTTAGGTATTTTAAGTAATCTAGAGATGATTTAAAATATACAGGAGGATGTGCATAGGTTCCATGCCAATACTACACCTTTTATATCAGGGACTTGAGCATCCATGGATTTTGGTACCCATTCCCCCCAGATACCAAGGGATAACTTGACATTCTTGATAAAAATGCAAACAATGTGTGGAATGTAAAAGTGTGTGGAAACTTGTCTAATTGGGACTCTGTGCCAAGGCTACTTCTGGCACGGGTACAGCCCCAAGAAAGCAACAGTTTTTGCTGTCACCAGCAGCAGTGGTGGCACCAGGCTGGTTTTCAGTGCCCAGTGCCCCTGGGCTCCCAGGCAGGCATCCCAGTCATCTCTCTTTCACTTGCTCTCTAGCAAAGGGAAGATGAGCCAGTGGAACTCAAAGTCCAGCCAGCCTATGGTCACCAAGCAGGAAAAAGATGGCACTGAGAGGTGACAATGTGGTAATGCTGACCTCAGAGAATGAGTTAAGAAGTGTTGCCTCTGCTTTTATTTTTGGAAGAAATTGGGGAGAATGATGCCATTTCTTCCCTAAATGTCTGGTAGAATTAGCTAGTAATACCATTTGGGTCTAGGAGTTTCCTTTCTGGAGGGTTTTATTGATTCAAATTTCTTTAATAGATATAGGCCTATTCAGACAATCTATCTCTTATGCAAGTTTTGGTTATTTTGTCTTTTAAAGAATTTGTTCATTTCATCTGTTACCAAATTTGTAGGTGTAGAGTCCACAGTTTTCCTTTATTACCTTTTCATTGTTGATGGAATTCACAGTGATGACCCGTCTTTCATTTTGATAATTTGTCTTCTCTATTTTTTTCTCTGTTAGCCTGGCTAGAGGTTCATTAGTTTTATCAGTCTTTTCAAAGAGTCAGCTTTTTGTTTCATTGAGTTTCTCTAATGTTTTCCTGTTTCAATTTCATTAATTTCCACTTTAATTTTTATTATTTATTTTCTGCTCACATCAGAGGCTTAAATTGCTTTTATTTCTCTAGTTTCCTCAGATGAAAGCTTATTGAAAGCTTATTGATTTAGATCTTTCTTCATTTCTTTTTTCTTTTCTTTTTTTTTTTTTTTTTGTTTTTGAGATGGAGTCTTACTTTGTCACCATGCTGGAGTGCAGTGGCACGATCTCGGCTCACTGCAACCTCCGCCTCCCAGGTTCAAGCGATTCTCCTGCCTCAGCCTCCCAAGTAGCTGGGATTACAGGCACCCACCACCACACTCAGCTAATTTTTGTTGTTGTTGTTGCATTTTTAGTAGAGATGAGGTTTCACCATCTACCTTGGCCAGGATGGTCTTGATCTATTGACCTCGTGATCCTCCCAAAGTGCTGGGATTACAGGTGTGAGCCATCAAGCCCAGCCTCCTTTTTTCTATTATATGTATTTAATACTATGCATTTCCTTCTAAGTGCTGCTTTTGTTGCATCTCATTCATTTTACTTTTATTTTCTTTTTCATTTAGTTCAAAATATTTTAAAATTTCTTTTGAGACTTCTTATTTGACCCTAGAACTATGTTGGTTAATCTGGAAATATTTTGGAATTTTCCAGCTATTTTTCTGTTACTGATTTCTAGTTTATGGTCTAAGAACAAACTTTTATGATTTCTATTCTTTTAAATTTGTTAAGGTATGTTTTATGGCCCAAAATGTGGTACCTCTTGGCAAATATTCTATGTGAGCTTAAAAAGTACATGCATTCTGCTATTGTTAAATGGAGTATCATATAAATGTCAGTTAGATTAAGTTGATGGCTATTGCTGTTCTGGTCAACTATATCTGTACTGATTTTCTGCCTGTGTGTTATATCAATTAATAAAAAAGAAGTGTTGAAATCTTCAACAATAGTAGCGAATTTGTCTATTTCTCTTTATATTTCTATCCTTTTTTGCCTCATATGTTTTGTCATTAGTTTGTAAGTTACATACACATTAAGGATTGCACGCCTTCTTAGAGAATTGACTCTTTTATCATTACACGATATCCCTCTTTAATCACTGACAATTTTCCTTGTTCTGAAGCTGCTTTGTCTGAAATTGATATAGCTACTATCACTTTTCTATGATTAGTGTTGGCATGGTATATCTTGCTCCATCCCTTTATGTTTAACCTATCTGTATTTTTATATTTAAAGTGGCTTTCTTACAGACAATGTATAATTGCGTGTTTTGTGTTTTTTTATGTATGCTGTTGATGTCTTGTCTTTTAATTGGTGTTTTTAGACAATTCACATTAAAGTGATTATTAATGTAGTTAGATTAATATCTACCACATTTGTAAATGTTTCATTGTACCTATTGTTTTTATTTTTTCCTTCCCTTTTTCCTGCCTTTTCTGGTTTTTATTTTTTTATTGTTTTTATTTATTTTATTTATTTATTGTTTTTATTTTTTCCTTCCTTTTTTCCTGCCTTTTCTTTTATTGAGCATTTTGTGATTCTATTTTCTCTCCTTTCTTAGCATATCAATTATACTTCTTTTAAAACATTTTTAGTGGTTTCCCTGAAGTTTGTAATATATATTTACAGCTAATTATGTTTATTTTAAATTATACGATATCACTTCATGAGTAGAGAATACATCATGCAGCTGAATGTCACAAATTCTGCCCCCTTGTTCTTTTTAACACTGAGAAATGACTGGCAGTGTTAAAAAGAACAGGAGGGCTTCCAGTCATTTCACTTATTTAGGTCCCACAACCAATCATTACATTGTTAATACTATTAATTTGAACAAACAGCTATATTTTAGGTCAAGGTGGAGTCGGAAAAATGAAAACCTTTTATTATATCTGCATTTATTTCTTCTCTGTTGCTCTTTCTTTCTCTATGTAAGTCTGAGTTTCTGGCCCATATAATTTTCCCTTTGCATGAAGAAATTCTTTTAACATTTCACATGGAGTAGGCTTTCTGGCAATGAATTCCCCTCAGTTTTTGTTTGAGTAAACCTTTATTTCTCCTTTACTTGAAGGTTAATTTTACTGGGTATAGAAATCTACTTAGGCTTTTTTTTTTTTTTCTTTCATCACTTTATTTCCACTTTCTTTGCTTTCATGGTTTTTAATGAGAAATCTGATGTAATTTTAGCCTTGTTTGTTCACAGGTAAAGATTTTTCCCTCCATCCCCTGGCTTTTTAAAATATCTTTTTCTGTCTTTGATATTCTGCAGTTTTAATATAAAATTGTAATTGCCAAACTAGATTCTTCTTGGCCACTACCCAGAAAAGCCACACACTGAGATCAACAGGAATTGCAGCAGAGAAAGAACTTAATAATCGCACGGCCCACCAAGTGGGAGATGTTTCTCAAATCCATCTCCCCAAGAATTCAGAGATTAGGCTTTTTTAAAGGGTAGTTTGGCACACAGAGGGCTAGGGAATGGGGAAATGCTGATTGCTTGTGTTGAGGATGAAATTGCAGGGGTTTGAAGCTGTGTTCTTGTGCTGTGTCACTTCCTGGGTGGGGGTCACAGTACCTGGTTACCAATCCTGTGGTACTTGCTGGTCCATTAGATTGCAAGGTCTGAAAAACACCTCAAACATCAGTCTTAGGTTTTACAATAGTGAAGTTATCTATAGGAGCAATTGGGATAGTTATGAATCTTGTGACCTCCAGCTACATGAATCCTGAACCATAATTCTAATCTTGTAGCCAATTTGTTAGTTTTACCAAAGTGGTTTTCATCACAGAGCAAGGAGGGGGTAACTTTTGGGAAGGGGTTGTTATAATCTTTGTTTTAAAGTTAAACTATAAACTAAATTCCTCTCACTGTTAGCTTGGCGTACACCCAGAAATGAGCAAGGACGGCTCGTGAGGTTAGAAGCAAAATGGAGTAAGTTAATTTTGGTTTCTCTCACTGTCATATTAATTTTTGCAAAGGTAGTTTCAATATGTCTAAGTCTAGATCATCTGATATTTATGCAGCTCGGTGTTTGATGAGCTTCCTG